GGGGTACACCATAAGAAAAAATTTGGGGACCTCTACTCTAAAAGGAATCCAAAATAAAAGTCTGAGCAAGTAATTGCCGTAGTGTTCTACAATTCCAAATGACAGAGAAAAGTGATTCTTACATTTAGCTGTTGAGCACTCCATGCTCTCAACACATCACTCGAGCAAACTGAAAAATGTTACAGGGGAGAATGTTGCTGAAAAAGAGGTTCTTCACTCAAAATTGAAAATTTAGTTAAGAATTTTGTGACAGGTGAATGTTTTTCTAATTTAAATTTCTATCAAAAGAGGGCTACATGAACGTGTTTTGCTAGCTTGATTTGGCAAGAAAAATGTTTGTTATACATAGCAGAACAAAAAGGTTTACTCTCCATGCCTGGTCTTCAAAAACCTGTCATGTTCTATGACCCTGGGCAAGCTTGTTCCAGCTATTGGGCATTTAAGTGGACCTGGCACCTCCATGTCATTCTGTTCTGCCTTGTTCAAGTCCTGAAAATCCATCAATTCATCTATTTTTGTAATATACAGCCATCTTACTTTTTAAGATTGAGTCAAAAAAAGCTGAGAAACAGGAGGATCCACCTTGTGCATTAACTTTTTTTCATGGACATAAGTCCATTTACATAACATACAGTTGGACTAGTACCTGGCTTAGGGCCTGTCTCTTTACCACAAACCATTCTGAGAGGTTCTTTCTTCTCACTTCATTTTAAAACTCTCTGCTTCCCTCTTGGCAATACCCATTTCTTTTCTACTGACTCTCAGTTACTTATGAAACACCTTCACTTCCTCATAAATCCACAGAGGAAACCTTTTGAGACGAGACCTTTTCTCTAACACTTCCTCCATCTTAATAATTAAAAGTAAAGCAAAGAGTAGGGAAATTTAGGTTGTGTGTTCGTGTTGTCACTGTTTTTAATTCATTTCCTACTTTCTTGTAGAAACGATTGCAAACAGATTAAAAAGATTTTTTCTAAACCCCTTGAGGGTGCAGACAGCAAAGTAGTTTGAGTGATAATCATGTAATACAAATTTCTTTGAAGATGACTTGCTCAAGTAATAATGCAGTGCAGGTAATCTTAATGTTTTGTGAACAGTCCTTGGCCTAGAAGGGATATTTCACTGTTTTCATACAACTTCCCCAAAACACACAGAAACTTAGCATATAGAATTTACTGATACCAGTGTTTCTGTTTTTGCAGGAAATAAAAGGGGTTTGCAAGTATTTTTGGAGATCATGCTTTTTACTAAAAGTACTAAATAAAGTATTTTTGGATATAATGCTTTTTACTAAATACTAAAACTTAGCAGCATCAAATAAAGAAAATGTGAAATGGAATCTTTCTGTATTGGTAGCATGAGACCAGTAAAGCTCAAGTAATTGAACAGAATTACTGGAGGAAGAAGCAGTTAGATCCAAGGGAAATATTCAAAAGATGTTATTTTGGATTTTCTTTTTGTCATGAGCTTTAGATCTCACAATTCATTTGCAAAAAACCCTAAACTCCTGTTAACTTGGGTAGAAGTTTGACCTGCCGGAAGAATGCTGAGCCTCAAATTCATATACTGCCTTAATTGAAATACCATATAGATCAAATGCATATTGCTAAACATGTCTGGCAATTTTGCTTTCAAAATGTTATCTTTAAAACATTAATCCAAATTGTTCTTGGCAATGTGTGAAAACAGTATTAATCCATTTATGACACAATAGTGATAATGTAAATGTTCTGATTTATTTTATCAAAGCCTTAAGCCAAGTTTTAAAAGAGAAAACCCTGGGAAAATAAACAACATGTAAAGGTCGAGTAAGAGCATTCTCACTGTAATGCATGACTGAATACTGACAGATTTGAGACCAAATGCACCCCTGGTGTAAGTGTATTGACATCAGGAAAGCTACAGCCTGGGTGAATCTGACCTTTGAAGTTGAGCATTAACTAAAGGTTTATTTGATATTTTTGGTATGTAGTAAAAGAGATAACCCTAGGGAAGGTGGATTAAATATTTGGTTTCAACAAGACAGTTGAATTTAAAAAAAAAATGTTCTTCTAACTTGCTAAATACAGGAGGTGCAGATGGAATTATATCACCTTGAAGCAAGCTCATTAACATTTACTTACAGGACACTCTTCTTCCTCTTATGGATGTGGAAGCTAGTCACCCACTAGATTTTCTGAATACAAATTTCTAAGTGCCCAAACTTCAAAGAAAAAAGTAGACTGAAACATGTATCTTTGTAATTTTAAACTGGGAAGATAATTGAGAGAACATAGGATCATAAGAAAGTAGGGTTGGATGGAACCTTATCTTGTCCTTGCTCAAGTCAATATCATACCTGATATCAATTTATCAAGAAGTAATGATATGTATAGTTTTAACTTTCAATGTATATTACAGTGTAAAAACGCTCCCACTTGGGTTGTCAACTAGGATTGAACCCAGGAAACTTAGATCAAAACATGCATCTCTGCTATGTGAAATAAATATCTAAGCCCATCACCTGGGACATGGGTGGATCTAGAATTTTGAGAAGGCGGATGCAGGTGGCAGAATACATCCTTACATATAAAAGAATACACATTTTTCTCCAATTAAAGATAAACTAGAAGCTTTACTAATATGTTAGGTGCCTAGGGCTGTATTATTCCATTTCAGATTGAAGTGAAAAACAAATGTAACTTCACTGGAATGAGTTAAAAACAATATGCAGGGATGTGAAATAGGAGCTTCGGGCTTCTATACGTGTGTGTGGAGCCTGCTCCGACACACTTGGAGCATGAAAATTGACACACTCAGGCAGCCGTGTGCGTCATGTATATCAGCATCACTGTACATCTCTGCACTGCAAAAATGGTGACGCTTTCAACTAAAACATGTTTGATGAGCTTTAGTTCAAAGTGTCCCACCACCATTTTTTCAGCATGGGGGGACACAGCAACACTGATACATGTGATACATGGGCGCTTTTAATTAGCACAGCTCACAAATTAAAACACCTGGTGCCTTGTTCCACAACACACATAAAAATGCCTTTCATTACCAGGAGCAGAATTGCAGAATAAAGGATAGCTTGATTAGTATAATATCAAGACTGTTAAAAAGAAGAGAGGGCAATTAACATCTGTGGAATGCAGAGTTTAGAAGGGAGCAAGTAAATGATAATGAGCCATGAAGTCAATTGACTCTCTCAGCATTGCCTGACTTGAAATGCTGCTGCCGCTGCCAGGAATTGGTTTTAAACTTTGGGTGGACCACAAATCTAAGGGGTGCAAGTGCACTAGTGCAACCCCCAGATCCACCCCAATCTGGGAGTCCTCTATACCTATGGATCAGTTATATATACATGTGGTCAGTTTGTTTAATTAATAATGATTGGTACAAGGGTGCCTTAGCTTAATACTTGCGTATTTAAAAAGTAGTTATTAACAGTAGCAAGCTTTTTTATATTAAAAGACTTCATTGTTTAATGAAGCAGGATTGGATTGGTACCTGGTAAACATTAGTATGTATATGTTTTCTGCTGGCCCCCATTTTATTGTACTGGGTTTCTTGTTGATGTACTGGGTATATGTTCTTGATATGGGAGAACTTTTAAACCAGTGGTCCTCAGCTATTCAGACTCAAAGCATCCCTTGGCAGAGTCAAGGTACCCTATGGAAAATGCCAATTTTCTGCAGTCAAGAAATGAGTGAAAACAGAAAAATACTAAAGTAATTCTTCTGTTGCAAAGAACTCAGAAAGACCACAACAGGTTGGGATAGTTTTGACACAGTGTTTTTGTATATGAAATCTCTAGTTTTATCTTGTGATTCACATGTAGGTGTTGATACTCCTAGTAATTGCAGAGCAACCTTAAAAGGATCTCACTGCACCCTAGTGTGAGAATCACTGCTTTAAAGGTTTTGAGGGCTAACTTCTGCTCAGGTATACAGAGTGTGGATTCTGGTTGGATGGACATACCAGGACAAAATTTGATCCTAATTTCTTTTACTGTGGAAGTTTTCAAAGGAATCAGGATTGAGTAAACCACATTTTCCTGTGTGCCTATGCACCAAGTAATTCAGCTATAATATCTAGAGCTCTGAATATATTGGCTCAGAAAAGTGGTATAGCACCATTAGAGTAATGCTTCACCTAGGCCAGTGGTTCTCTTTTTTTTTTACAGACCATTGAAAATTACTGAGGGTCTTGGTGGACCACTTAATCTCCGTTGTCAGAAAAAATATATCGAGTGCAGGGCCAAGTACAGATATTCTCGATTGTTCTGCAACCTTTCTGTGGACCACCTGAATGCAGCTCACGGACCAGTGGCGGTCCGCAGACCACAGTTTGAGAACCTCTGACCTAGGCTAATGTACCCTTCTTCTCAGTAGTTCTAATGAGTAATACTATGTACCCAGACAGACTGCTGTGGTAATGCAGATATCCAGCTTCCACTATTTAAGACAAGTCTGAATGAGCCATAGCACATATGAGCTATAGCACACGTGCTTTTATAGTCTATGGACACAGTTGTTGCAGCCCTTACTTAACCATGCAGGAGAGGGAAAAGTAGTAAGATCCCCCTCTTATTTCCTGCTTAGCCCTGTTCAGATTGCACCCCTAGCCAGAGTAGAGAACAGGGCCTACTCTGTTACCCCTGGTTGTGCACGAGTAAGCAAGAAGAGGATGGAGAGGAGCAAAGAGTGTTTTTGTCTTCACGCTTCTCCAGCAGAGTAGCTGCCTGAATGCACAGGGGGGTATAAGCTGTTCAACAAAATGCATGAAGCAATCTTTCCTCCAAGGCAGAAAGGGGAGAGGAATTGCAGGTGAGCAGAGAGAGGGCCTGATCCTGAATCAGGGCATGTATGTCTTCCCTACATCAGGGCAAGTTGTAACATTGCAGTCTTCCAAGTAATAGTAAGACAGGTCAACAAGTAGGTAAGTCAATGGATAACCAGGATAGAAGTGATATTTAATGGTTAAGTGAGCTGTAGTAAAGCTATTGCTTTTCTCACTAGGTAATGGCAAGTGATAAGACTCGCTAAGTAGAAGAGAAGATGCCTCGCACCATGATACTTTTATTAAAGGCGCCAGTATCCTTCCGTGAACACCATCTGCTTTTGATTGGTTTCCTTGGCATCTGTATTATTAATAGTTTTGCAAGCAGTCAGAAGAACCACACTTTAATTTTCACCAGGGAAAGCACAATTCGCAACTGCAGCTGTTCTACTGATATCCGTGATTGCGATTACAGCCTGGCAAACTTGATGTGCAACTGCAAAACCGTTTTGCCTTATACAATAGACAGAGCCAGCTACAACAGGGACCTGACAGTTTGGTTCACAGATACCTCCATGCTGGGAATGCTGTTGAACTTTACCGTGGTGCATGACCTGAAGCTTTCCCTCTGTGGCACCACTCCACTGCCAGCAGAATACTTGGCCATTTGGGGATTGCAAAAGTTGCGAATAAACAGTGAGGTCAAGGGCCAATTTCCTGAGCAAACTTTAACCATCTACAATAACAGTGACCATGAAATGAGAGATGAACTGCAGGTGCTACACAAAGATAGGCACATGTTTTTGTATATTTCTGTCTTGGATACATCTCTTTTCAACGGGTACTCTTTACTGAAGTCCTACAGTGTGGAAAATGTCTCCAGCATTACAAAGCATTTTCCGTGTTTGTCATACTCAGATATGTTCTCAGTCACAAATAACAAAAGTTATGTTGTAACATTCATTTACTGAGACAAATTTAGCAGCTTAAACAACAAAGCCAGAGGACCAGTTAATCTGACAATAAGACAACATATGGGATTTCTGTATGTTTGCTCCGTTTGGCCCAAAAGAGAACCTATATGTTGGGTTCATTCTATCCGTGATTCTAGTGATGATGTTCTCAAAGGTGCGATTCAAGGTGACTTGAATACAGAGAACTAATTCTGCAAATTGTTTTTTAGAGAACAAAGAAAATGTGAAACAATCAACATTAGATATGATATAATAGCAGGTTTTTTCAAAGTGTCTTAAATACTGAAGATTGAAACATTGATTAATTTTGTTATGAGATATGCCTTACTTGGGCATATAATATGTACCTCTGGATACAGAACTACCTGATGTATGCAATTTGCTTTTACATATTTTGCTAGATATTCTGCAGTAAATATATGGAAAATGTACCAGTTGCGTGGATGGTTATTATTTAAGTAATGTGGAGAGCACTCGGTGAATTTGGCCTAGCAGGGAGAGCATTGGGCTGGGACTCAGGAGACCAAAATCCTGTTCCTAGTTCTGCCACTAGCCTGTTCAATGACCACTTCCTGTCCTGTGCCTCAGTCTCTCCATCTGTAAAATATGGATAATTATGCTGATTTCCTTGTGAAGCACTCTGAAATTTACTGATGAATGGCCTAATATAAGCAGTGTGTATTATTAAGTATATGTATTGAACTTTTTAAAATAAAGTAGTTTCATTGTGTGCTGCTTTCAGCTGTTGTTTTTCATAGCCCACACTATTTCTTGCCTTGGAAAACAAGACAAGCATGTAATACACAGTCTTCATCTGGAGACATAACTGTGTAAGGTGGCAACAGAGGATTAATGAAGTTGATTGACAAAAAGGTATTGCTGTTAATGACAAAAGGGTATTGCTGTTAATTAAAGTAATGTTAGCTGAACATGCACAAAGCACCCGCTGCATCTGGTCATATACTGGGAAGTGGGCTTCAATCTAGCATTCTGTATAGGATATCCAGAGATGCACTGCTAGTGACATGGTGGTCTTGCATATTGCTGTGCAATCTATACCTGTATTGTTACTGATAGATTGATGACAGGAGTATGTGTACAGTGCAATGAAGTATGTAGCATAGTGGGTCTTTACAGTCCTGTGCTGACAACAAAAACCTTCTAATAAATGTCATCACCTAGGCCTGTGATGAAATGTGTGTACTGTGAGTAATGTAAAGGGACTGAGAAAGTTATTCATTTGTTGTCCCATTTAAACAAATCTTTTCTGAAGGAAGACACACTCATCTTCGGCAAGCCAGTTTTTATGATGTTTTCTGGAAATAGCTAATAATTTGATCCTGATAATTATATGGGGATATAACACACACAAATGTTCACTCAGAAGTGGTGATCTCTTTCAGTGCCTGTGGCACTGGGATGGGGAGAGGATTATTCTGACCACTGGAATGCAGGGAGAAGTAGAGGCTTACCTGATAGGACTCTCCTGGGGAAGGCAGCTGATAGCAGCATGGGCTGGAGCTGTTGCCACTGAGAAACAAGCAGCAGCTCAGCTTCCCTGGGGGCCCTTCCAGGTGCCATTCTCTTTCCTGCTTGCCCCCTCCCCCACTAGGGTGACCATCATAGAAGACAATCCAGTTGTCCTCTGTCCTCCATTGATATGAAACCAGATGCCTTTACATCCTCTATTTTTCTCTTGAAGAGGAAAATAGAGGACATAAAAGCATTGGGTTTCATATCAACAGAGGACAGAGTAGCAGAAAACCAGAATGTCCTCTATGATGACCACCCTATCCCGCCCCCACCCCGACACACACACCACTGCAGGGCTGTGTATCCCATGGTGGCCCAGGGAGACTTTGTCATTTCATCCCCTACTCCCCACATACACTGCTGGGTATGGGGTCTGCACCTATCTGGATCCTATGCCCAAGCAGCACAGAGCTGCACTTGACATGGCAAAGACTCCTGGGGGAAGGAGCTATGCTGGTGCCTCCTCTAAATCAGTGTTGGGCCTGGTGCTCCATTCACACCCCCCCCCCAATTATTCTGCTGTGTTTACCTCCGATAATTTTAAAAGGTCAGGGATAAAGGAAAACATTCCCTGAAAGATGTGATATTGTAGCTGTGATAGTTCAGGAAATATGCAAGAGGGAAGGATTATTGTGGATGGTATCTTTTATTGAACCAGCTGCAACATTGGGGTAGACATAGGCAAGTTTTCAAAAGTATTTGAGTGCACTGAAGTTTATCCCAACCCTTCAGTTGGTTCTATAAAATATATCACCCACAACAATCCCTTCTTTCCCTGGAAGAGATTTTTTAAAATATACAAAAACTGGGTGCAACTTGGTGTATTGTAAGTGGGGTCATAAATCATACTTTAAAGTATTTGTTACTGGCTAGAGGTATTTACCAGGAGTAATTTAGCAGTTTCCTAAAGGAGTGAACTCACCCCTACTTCTAATTTCACTCTTTCTGACTTTGCTAAGCTTTTAGCTCATACTCATCCCCATGTTTCTGGAGTACTACTGGCAACAATTTTTTTTACAAGGAACTCATGTTATAGAAATGAAAATATTACTAGGCACTACACATGTAACACTATTTATAAATGGCAAATACCTGGTGTCATATGTATTCACATACCACTTGCCTTTTCCCCTAAAATCAGAGATTTAGAATTGGGGTGTGTGTCTCTTAAATGAGGAAGCTGGTTCTGAGCAGTTTGGTGAAAAGGGAAAATCTTTTGCTCTTGATTCTGCCTTCCCAAAACAAGGCATATGCCTTAGTTGGGGGTGCGTGGTATCTGAGTAAATATGGAAATTACCAGCAACATCTTCCCTATTTTTCTTTTAACTTTGCTTTAGAGGTGTTTCTCATGATGGTCTTCAGGGACTTATCTATTTAATGTCAGAGATGTAACAATGCAGTTTCTGTTTATGCAAATCAAGGTACAAACCCTATGGATCTCCTGCTCCTTTTTCCCTCCATCTGATCATTGGCAATGGGCCTTGCTCAGTTTTTAACTCAGTTATGGGCAAATTCCTGATACAATTAGTAAGCATAAAACTCAAATGACACCTCAGTAAGGATTTCTAGGTCTGATGCAGTGATATACAAGCCAAGCTGTTAGCCTGCATTTTTCAGTTGCATTTGCATGCAGGACATTTCATGTGTTTAGATGTAATCAACAATATAAAGACCCCAAGAATAGACTTCCTAGTACTTTTTGCTGTAACATCTGACAGTATTAAAAAAACATTCAACAAGAAGCATTCTACAAGCTCTTAAACATGTGCTGAACTTTACTCACGTGAATAGTCTGATTGGCTTTCAGCACTATTCATGATAGTAGAGTTAAGAACATGTAAGTATTTTAAGGATTGGGGCTGAGCTCAGGAAAACTTGCCCACATTGTGAATCAGCTATAAAAAAGGCCACCTTTCTTCTACTTGCCAGCATCTCTGTGAACATAGAATCATAGAATCACTGAGGGGGAAGGGACCTAGACAGATCATCTAGTCCGACCCCCTGCCATGGGCAGGAAGGAGCACTGGAGGTGGGAGGGGTCATAAGACCCCAGCCAGGTGCCTATCCAGTCTCCTCTTGAAGATCTCCAGGGAAGGTGAGAGCACCACCTCTCTGGGAAGCCTGTTCCAGGCTCTGGCCACCGTTACAGTGAAGTAGTTCTTCCTAATATCTACCTAAACCTATCCTCCCTCAGTTTGTGGCCATTGTTCCTAGTGACTCCAAGGGGGGCCCTGGTGAACAGACTTTCCCCGAGTCCCTGCTGGTGGCCCCTGATAAGGTTGTAGGCAGCCACAAGATCCCCCCTCAGTCTCCTCTTGCAGAGACTGAAGAGATTCAGGTCCCTCAGCCTCTTTCATAGGGCTGGCCACAGAGGCCCCCAACCATACGAGTGGTCCTCCTCTG